AAAGGGGGAGGATCACCTCTCTGGACCTGCTCGAGATGCATCTGTGAATGCATGACAAGGTACGGTTGGCCTTCCTAACTGCCTCCCCACACTGCCAACCCATTTAAAGACAATGAAACTGGATTTTTTTATAATATTGGTAAGAAAGCAGAGAGAGTCCTTCTCCCCATGTCAATGCAAGTTTAAACTAGACAAGACTTATGAAGACAAAGCAGTGACCATTTTATGGCTTTTTAAATTCATTCTTTTCATTAATAGGGGTCCAGAATACAAGAGCTGCCTCTCCATTTAACACTAGCTGACACCTATGCTAACAGCCTGTGAAGAAGTGCAGAGTGAACAAACAGAGACAAAGAGCTACCTTCCCTCAGCCCAAAGGGTGATTCCTCTAGGACAGGTGTGGAAACATCTTGGCAGGATCAGGTATGAAAGCTTGATCTGCTGCTGCTTCTACTGCATTTATTTTCCACACATAGATGATTTCAGGCTCTGCTCTACTGCCTCAGTTTTGTGAAGGAACACATACTTCAGGGAGAAGAGAATTCCCTGATACCTCAAAAAGGCACCAGCAAAATGACCAGGTCTAGGAACACTCACTCTGCGAGATCCCAATCCAGTAAAGCCTTTAAGAACATAGCAAAAATGTGCTGACTTCAAATGCAGCTACATTGTTTTTCACTAGCTGAAGATCTGGTTCTAAATCTACCAAACATACTCCATCCTTGCTTTCTCATTTTTTTTTGGTTTCCCCTTCCCGCCATATGCAGTTCATGTTCAATAAGCAAATTTTCCTGGAAACTCTCCATTGTTTAAAACTGCTATAGCTTTACTTGAACTTCAAATAAACACTCCTCTTGTTTAATTTACAGCAATCCCCAAAAGTTTATTTTCCAGTGCCAGTAATGATATACACCAGCCATCTCCCGTCACAGCAAATTGCTGCAATACAGAATCAGCATAAATCTTGAGTAAAATACAAACTGCACCCCTTCATGTGGGGGGACAGACCCCATCCTCTTGCTCAAATAAAAAAACAATGACGAAGAGGACTCTTTCAGCTAACACCAGCCCCAGAAATAGGGAATGGCGCCACATCAGATTCCACGGTTCAGTTTTCCAGTTTTATATCTGTTAGCAGGGCACACTTTCTCTTTAAAAAGAGGAAGAAAAAGAAAGCACCTGATAGATTCACATAGTGACATCTCAGCTATGCTTTTATGCATACATTCATGTTCATGTACCTGTGATTTACATGTATTAAACATACTCATTCCCACAGTGACAAGCTTTGTGGAGCCCATGCGCTACATTTCACAAAAACAGCTTACATGCCAATTTCTGAATACTTCACCCTACCTGGAAGCCCTATGTCTAGTATACAAAGAAAGCAGGGTAGATTTGTACCTTACTGACTAACCAAAGTAGAGGTATATACATATATACATACATGCATACATCTCTACTTTGGCTGGGCTATAAGGTACAAATCTAACCTACCTTCTACTTGACTTCAGAATAAGATGGCTAACTACATCTCTCTAGTATAAAAAGTCACTTGGGGAGTGCCATGGGTGAGCAAATCAATCTTCAGCTGAGGCATCAGCTCCCATTGCCCATGTTTTGGTCCCCAGCCAATATGAGTGGAGAGTAATGTTACTCTCACAGGACATTCACTCCACTAGGTCACAAAGTAGCAATACTGATAGGCTTCAAAGGAGCTCTCTGGTCAGCCCTAGCATAACTTCTACAAGGGTAAGGGCCTTGACGTAAAAATGATATACAAAATGATATATAAAATGCATGAAAAAGCAAGCACCCCTCAGAGGAAGATTCTGAACCCTCTGCCTTTAAGTATAAATCTGAAAAGTTATTCTAGCTTCTCTTTCACTTACAATTTTGGTGACACATTACTTTTGCTGAGCCAAGAACATAAGATTTGCATAGCCAGAACATGCCCACTGGCACAAGGTATTGCTCATGTGCTGCTCAACATAATTTAGGTATATGGAACACCTCATACCACCAAAAAAAGGTGCATGTGGGGGGAAAACATCTTGGATCTGCATGAATTCCTGAGAAAAATTAGACAAGTGCCATCACACATTCTTTTCTGTTTAATCATTTTAATGGTGTTCTCCTCTTTGATAAATGGCAAATACATTTTCTTTGGCTGGATAGCGCACATTTTAAAAGTGCCCATGGAGGAACTACATGGGCATTTCCACTCCATTCTAACTGCACATTAATCATTTAAAATGGATACAAAAAAGTTTGAAAAAAGCCATAAGCAAAGTTAAAAAAGAGTCAAGTGAATCTAGGATTTGCAAATCCTCAGCCAGCAGAAGCAAGTTGGCTTGAAAGGTCAGTGAAAGAAGTTGGAAATCATGAGACAGATTTTTATATGTTGTAATCCAACACAGCTCCCTTGATTTCAATGGAATGATATCCATTTACAACAGGTCAGGATCTAGAATGATCCTATATACACTAGACAGTTGCAGTGTTTGGCCATACGTGACTTTTTCCAATACATGTTGCTTTAAGTGGGCAATGCAAAGGAGCTAAATTGCCTTGTTTTGTCTCAATTAAATATTGTGTGGTAACTGAGGCATCACAAAACAAAAATTAACACACCTGATACACAGATTGCAGAAAATCAGCTCTCACGCACGCATCACAACAATCCCAAGGACCACATCCCTGCTACACAGCACCAACTGTTTAGTTGGCCTTTCAATCAAGTGTAAAATGAGTGGAAGAGAGCAGGAGCAATTATAGTACAAATACAACTAAATAAAATAGAATTCCATTTAAAAGATCATTTGGTTTGGCGACTTAAGCAGTGGTCTTGTCCCATGGTCCTAGCATATGCTCCATGGTAGGGATGGTGAAAACGTACAGTCTATTTGTGGGAGTCCCACAAATAGGGGGCAGCAGCAGCTAAAGGTACTCAAGCACGTTCTCATAAGACAAGAACAACCTTATATAAAAGCTTTACCCAAAAGGAGACAGTAGAGCACAGCATGAAAATAGGACATGATTCAGTAAGTGCAGTGCTTTGCATTCAGCTACAAATAATCAACTATACAAATACAAAATGAGGAACAACTGGCTCAGTTGGCAGCTGTTCTCTAGAAAAAGATCTGAGAGTTATAGTGCACAATGAACTGACCGCTCGTCAACACTACAATACTGCTGTGAATAAAAGAAAACATCACACTGGGATGCATAAACAGGAGTGTTATGTAAGACATGAAGCAATATATAAATCTTTTCAGCACTTGGTAAGACCTCAGCTGCAGTACCTTGACATGTTTTGGGCACCAACTTCAACATGAAGACATTGACCAACAGGAAAGAATCCAGAGGGATTCACAAAATAATTAGAGGTCTAGAAAGCATGATCTATGAGGAAAGATTAAAAAGCTGGGTTTGTTCAGTGTAGACAAAAGACAACTATATAAACTTGATAATAATCTTCAACTATGTAAAAGGTTTCAGGAAAATAACTTGTTCTCAGTGCTCACAGGGGACAGGACAAGTAGAAATGGCCTTGAATTGCAATAAAGGAGATTTAAGTTGGATTTTTTTGTGTATACATCTTACTGTAAGAAAAGTGATGCATGGGAATAGATTACCTTAAAAGGGCTATGGAATCTTTCTCATTAAAGATTTTTTTTTAGAATAGGTTAGACAAACTTTTCCAGGAATTGTTTTGATATAGTTAATCCTTCTTTGGGAGATAGGACTGGAAGGCACTTTGATAGGTCATCATATCCACCCTATCTTCTCTAGCTTCCTGAATAAAGAAGTCTTAAATGATGACATGTGTCTTATATAGGGCCTGGTTTTCCTCTAACAGTGGTGAAATTTATGAGTAAATCTACTCAAGTCAATGGAGCAGCAGTAGTTCTATACTAGTGTGAAGGGAATTAGAACCATTGACACATGACATGTTCCTTCAGCAAGTAACATCGTTCCCTATTTTTTGTCACTCCCCCAGGAAAGCTACAGCAAAAGAAAGACTAAGATGCCTTTTTTTAATTAATTTTGTATTGAATCTTTTCATATTGCATTGGACAGGGAGTAAAGAATAGGATTATCAGCCTGAAATAATAAATTGCCCTGTATTATCCAGGACAGCCCTGAATTTTGAGGCAGGGTCCCCAAAAACTCCCTAACGTGGAACTTTTGCCTCAAATTCAGGCAACTGGTCCCAAAACATTCCTGTAGTACCCAGCCTTCCAAACCACCAGTGATATAACTGTATTCATACAGGGCTGCATCCAGGCTAGTGAGCCGTGTAGAGTTAACTGGGAATGGAAAGTAGTGTAAATCAGGAGTCGGCAATGTTTTCCAGCAGGGGGGCCAGAATGACTCAGCTCAGGTCCAAGGTGAGCAGGCCCAAGGACCCGGTCACCTTCACCACTTCTCTCTGCTACCTGGTTGCAGCACAGCGCAGGAAAGAGACCCCCTTCCCCAGAAGCTCATGTCATTCAGCTGCAGCATGTTCTTGCTTTATATTTGCTACCACAGAAAGTTAGGAATGGTTTATGCCTCATCTTGTAAAACATTTAAATCATCCAAAAATATTGTACAATAAATTAAGGAAGTACTATTATCATTTTGACATCACTCAAGAATCAGGGGGAAAGAAGAAAAAGGTAACTCTAATCTCTTGTGGGGTATACAGTTTCAGCAGCTGGTATGAAGGGTAGAGCATCACCTTGGTGCTCAATAGTCTGGATATTATTTATTCATTTTGTTCGGAATAGCTAATAAAAAGGAGCTCCACACACTCCTGACAACTTTCAGGCACATGCTCCCATAAGAGCCTTCCTGAAATCACACATCTGCCAACAAGGAAAACTCAAATTATTTCCTGAGAGCATAAGCAAGATCAGGAGTGCTATCTGAAAATGAAGCCATAAGTATGCCACTGCATTGCAACCAAAAGCTTCTTCCCTCAGACCCTACCACCATTATGACAGGGATAAGATCACATCTGTGCACTGTAACAAGGCACCCTCTCTCAGACAGCTGTAACAACACATCAAAAGCAAGAAAGGGAATTTTCCTTCTCAAAGTGCTCTCTTGGAAGAAAACAACATTCCTTCTGCTTTCAGAGCAAGCACCTGGCTCAAACTTGTCCTATTGATGGCCTTCTGGCTTTTAACATGATCTAATAGCACGGAATGCCCATGTTTATAGAGTTCCCCATTTACACCTAAGAAATCCACAGTCTATCCTGTTTATATCCTTCAGCACAGGGGACTTCAAAAGGAAAATCAAAACATTTCCATCCTTCCTCTTCCAATTCTTCACTTGCATTGTCATTTATTACAAGGGAATTAACAGGCTCACGGCATGGGGGTGTAAGCTCAAGACTCTGAGGAGACAACTGAAAACAAGTGCAGTAGTTGCAACTGTTCTTATCACAAAGAGCTCCATGTCATTGGGTGTAGGTGCTACCCTCTGCTCAAGAGAGGTCCAGTACTAGACAGGGATGATCTACAAACTCTCACAGATCAAGTGTGAGAAAAGTTGGCACAAGCACTATCTATATTCACCACATTTCTACAGAAATGTATTTAATATTATTCTATCTTAAAGAAAACCAGTAAAGACCTTAATACTAAAGACCCTAGAAATCCCAACACAAGAGATGCTTTTTAATCATCCATAACCATTGCACTCATGACCACCAAACTGAAGAACAAAGCTTTTATCCTGATAGTGCTATGTATGTTCTGCTTGAATTACTAGATTAACAATACCTGGCTCTCGTATAGCATTTATACTTTGCAAATTACACAGCCCTTTGCAAATAAATTAGCACCATCCTGTCAATTTTATAGATGGGGAAACTGAAGCACAAAAAGGGAAGCAACTTGTCCAAGATCACTCAGCAGAACAGTGGAAGAATAAAAAATTGAACCTAGGTCTCCCAAGTTCCAGTTTCAGGCCTGGCTCACCTCTGAAATAGTGGCCTAGTCAGAAAGACATTACAAGCATCATATTTATAATCAGTAACTTTAAAAAATCCTGAAAACAGGATTTCCCCTCAGTGCCACTGTAAAGAAGAACAAGCTGAAGTGAATTGCTACTTGGAAAAAAACTAAAAAATAGCATTGATTTTACACAGCCCATATCCCCTAACCTGGGTTTCTTTCCTTTCCATTCAGTGACACCTGCTATGTAAGCCCTGCAGGCTGAACTGTGCCTTCTGTGACACTTGACTGCTCTTGCAACTGTAAATTAGTATACAGTGCGGCACAAAGAGGAACAGAATCCAAATCACTTTGTTATGTTGACTGTACAGAACTACAAGAAGCAAAAATACAAGGAAAATTATATTTTGGTCACAGCATACAGCCTGAGTACACTCTAGGGGGAGAGGGACTGTGTAAAAAAAATGCCATTTTACACAAGTATTTTTCCAGGCAGAAATTCACATCAGCTTGTCCTTCCTTCCAGTGGCAGTGAGGGAGCTTCACCTTGAACCAGCTGCTGTAATAATCATCTCTTCATCCCTCTGGTGATTCTGTTCCTATCCAATCACAAACATGACTTTTGGCATCAATTACAACGATCTTTCAATTGTCAAATACTCAAGCATACTTTGAACTAGTCTGACTGAACTTATAACACTGAATTTATAACACTCCACTCCACGTGGCCTTATATATACTTGGCACTCTATTCATTTTACTGGTAAATGCTAGCATCTTGTATCTCCAAGCAGTCCCTTTGAGGTTTGCAGGCTGTTTTAAAGATGCACTGTACTGTAGTTAGAATTAGTTTTCTATAATCAAAGCATTTTTAAGATCTTCCAATGGCATAATTTATAAGTTATCTCTTCTCTTTTCTCATTAAGCACAAACAGTCTCTCCACTGGAGAAAACATAGCTAAGGAGCCAGCAATGCAATAATTAGTCACAAGAAAAATAGACATAACATTTAATGTAATGTTCAGTCATCTCAATTCAGTCCCTAATAGACAGATCCATACCTCATAAAAAACATCAACATAAGTCACAAGTAACACTGTCTTTTGCATCCTTACTGGCATCATTCACAGAGAAATTGCTCACCAAAAAGGGCTTGGAAACTGAATCACTCTATTAATAGACACATTTTTGTCACCATCCACAGAGGGGCAATAAAGGTGTCAACTAGAGAGGGCTCTGATCTGAAGAACGTGCCCACAGCCTTCAGCAAAAGACCAGAAGATTCAGAACCTTTTTGTTTCCAAATTAAGCAGAAGCAAATCTGCCAGTCTAGCAACTTTCAGCTACACAAAATTCACTTCAAATAAAACAAGCATGTTTCCCTGCCTTAGATTGCTTGCATTCATGCCAAAGAAATGTGTATTCTTAGAGTACTATTTTTTTATATAACAGTGGGTAGCTAGTTATTATCTTCAAGAGGTAGCTTGCTTCTCCTCTGGTACCTGAATCTGGTAATCTTCTCCAATCCCTTCCAATTTCTTCTTATATTCATAGATGGCTTCTCTCATGTCATGCATTTCAGAGCAGAAGGTGATGGCACTGTCCACCTTGGAAGGATCAAAGGGAATTCAGTTATTCAAGGATCAAAATGCATCCTCTTCCTGCTGGTCCTGTTTATTCTCTCCCTTCCTTAACCCTTGTCATCTCACTTTCATCCACCTCTCAACCAGAGACCTAACAAGCAGAGTTGGTGCCTTCAGCAAACCCTGTGAGCAAAGCAGTCTTACTCATGCCAGGGACTGTGAGTCCCAACTGAGCTGCTGCTCTCTCTTGCCGTAGCTGTTGCTCTTAAGGCAGAAGCACCATCCACCACCGCTGCTGCTGCCTCCAGGGTCTATTTTGGCACCTGGGGTGGGTGCCCCTCTGACCCACCTGTAGTTATGTTACTGCTCCCAACTAGCAGAGCCAATTGTGTTTTATCAGTTGAAAACCATCCTGTACCCCAAGAGTCCCTGCTGCTCTTCAGTAGTGCAACTGGAAGCATTTTAAGAGCGCTTGAAACTTGCTGCAGGTTTTATGCACGCAAGTCACAAATGCCATACTGTTATCCCACAATTAAGCTGCTTTTGCCTCACACCTTGAAGGCCACATGGCAATCTGGTGTTTTTAAAAAAAAACTTGCTCAGCTTTCTGATCACCATTCCATGGTGCTATTCCATCTGCATTTGAGGGATTTTTATGCTGTGCGCTGTATGGTATCTATCACAGAGTTACCATTTGGTTCAAGCAGAAGGCAGGGCAGAGTTGCACCTCACAGGCTAACCAATTTAGAGATGCATAAGCTTTCATGACTTACAAAAAGCTTACTTTTCTCTGAATTTCAAAGTTTATAAGGTGCAGCTTTGCCCTTTCTTCTGCCCAACTTTAGACTAACACAGCTAACTACCTTCTTCAGTAACCTGGCACACACTAAAAGGATGAATAAGGAGAGAAAACAAAATCTCATTTCCAAGCAACAACTGTGCATAGAGAGGAGCACAATGACAAGGGGAGTTGTGTAAGTGACATGTCTGTGTCTGAAATAGCAAGGACTCCATTCTGCTCTTACTGAAATTAAGAGGAATCTTTTGACCAGCTATAGTGGGAAACAGATCATACTGAAGGCCAAAAATGTCTTGCTTTACTGTGATCACCTCTTCTGATCTCATAAGAAAAAAAAAAAAAAGGAGGGAGAGAGAGAGACTACAACCTTGTCCAACCTTAAAAGGTTTACTGAGTCACTGTGTTGGCTAGGGGTGTCTTTATTTTGCCAACATAGTTTTGCTCATAAGAGCCCTCGGGGAAACAAAGATAAGCTGATATAAAAGTGCCTTATACCACCATAGTTTATTTAGCTCCCTGAGCAAAAACAAGCTGTAACAACACTATAAGCATGTTTATAGTATATAAGGGTAAAACTATACCTATGCTAAGGGATGCATCTCTGTAAGCATACTAGCATGATTAAAGTGGCAAAACGTGTAAACAACTCTCACCTCTGGGTCCACAACCAACCAAACATAATATATATGTCCACTGAAATATTAGGTACCTCCCCAAAGAAGCAGCACAATTAGAAGATAATTGTGTCCAGACCTCCTCACATAGAGGAACCAATGCATTGACATAAAGCCTATGAGGGCAACGAGGAAGTAGCATCAGAATATATGACAAGTGGCTAACATGTAACTAGAGAGAAAAAATGGGGTGCATTAGTGGTATGAACTTCTCAAATTTGAGGAAGAGGGTAAAGCGGGTTGGCCAGAGACTAACTGGTTTAGAGATGTGTGAACTTTAACTTCAGACTAACTTCAGGGTAATCACCTTTCTAGTTAAATTTCAGTTCTACAATGTGCTGGGATTGGCAGTTAGGGCCATCTTCGCGATACCTGCTCCTCAGAAGGTTTTGCAGCCCGAAACCTCCTTGCCAAGTCATAAGTGTCATCTCAAATCCCAAATGTTGTTGACACTGCCATATTATGGAACTTAACTACAGGATGGCAACTGGGGAGAATCCAACATTTTGTGCTGCAGGAGATATCCTTTCTGCACAAGGGCAGGCCACCCCAAGAGCACAAGTTCACCCATGTGATCTGTAACTACAAATTTTAGCCTGCTCACAGACACTTACCTCCTCTACTATTTGTTGGCCTTTTGGTACCATGTCAATAAAGTTTTGAATAACCTGAAATCGATCCCTTGGTGAAGTTCTAGCAGGATGAGGAAGGCTGTGATTAAAAAAAGAAAATGAGCAAATTAAAATGTTCTGTTACTTTGGTTCATAGTTTTACTTCCCTCCCACTTGTATTTTTTATACTTGTGCCAGCACCAAACTGAAAAGGAAACTGTCTCACTTTGCATAATTCGTCCAATCAACCAAGTATTCAGTAGGCAAGATATATTCTATTGTGCATACAATAGTCACACTTACCAAGTTGCTTTCATTTTGAAAGATTCTCATTTAAGAGCTATTTCTACATTTAAAATTCAGAATATACTAAGGAGATATTAACAATTCCAGTAAATTGTCCACATTTTCATGTGTACTACACATTTTCATAGAGTTTTTGGTCAGATGGAACCAAAAAAAAATCTGGTCTGACCTCCTGTATATCACAGGCCCTTAAATTTGACTATAGATAAAATAAGCATTCAGTTAGACTAAAACATTTTGAGCTGTGGGCAGAAGAAAATGCCACTAGTGCCTGAGGCCTCTGCAAAGTCATGCCCAAATGATTCTGGCAGGCAAAATATGCCCCAAGTCACAGAGCAAGCGAAAACATGCTAGTGACTGACCATCTAAGCTGCTGAAAATTGCCATCCTATCCTAAATCTGGTGATCAGTACATCTCATACATCTAAGCAAGACACCAACCAGGCATTTGGAGAAAGATAATTGTCTATACCAGCTCAAAACATCATGCCACTCCTGTCCACTGTTTCTTTTCCAGTTGTAACCACCTTCCTTCAGAAGGTGAAGGAAAAAAGATGCACAATTGGCCAGCTGTATCAGGGAAAAATAACCCTTCTGCCCCTTGCAAGCAACCTAGTGAAGTCTTGAAGCAGAAGATCACAGTCATTATCTTAATCCAGAGCGGTAAGGGCAACAAGTATGAGTAAGTGATTCTACTTAGCGTGTTTATGTTACTGGGTACTCAACACATTTGAACAAATCAGGCTTAAAACAGATGCATGCAGTATGCTGCATGTTATATTAAATCAATTTTGCATTCAAGGTCCATCCTCTATTTAACTGCATTCATTTTACCCCTCTCCTGTGAACACCCCCTGGCTTCAGTTTTCATTTTTCTCCCAGATATATGTCCCTGGCAGGTAAACATCCCATTCTCTAAGCAGGTATCAGAGTCTATTTGCATCACCAGAGCCCAGGCTCCTGCCACCTACAGATCTTTCTCAGAAAAAACAAAAGGAGCTACTCCTTGGGAAAGCCATGGATGAAGGGGTAGAGAAGTTCAGCCCCTCCTACAATGGTGCAGGGAGTGAATGCATTGCATAAATGGTTTTAGAGCTAAAGAGCTTTTAATAATCCACAGTATGATCTCAGCATATGATGGGAAGGTGCTATTGGTGCTTCATATGCTTTAAGGAGCGTTGGGGTTGTTTGGTTTGTTTGTTTTGGGGGTTTTTTGGGGGGGAGGGGTTGTTTTGGGGTTTTTTAAGTTCTGCTGGTAGGTGGCCTCCACACCCTCCCAAATATGCTATTGAAAAGACCTACACAGCCCAACTGCTATTTAATGGGACAAAACCATCAATACCTTTAACTCACATTCAGGTCCCCAGTAGAGAGACTGGAGCTGCCCTC